ATAGCCACTTACATTAAACCAATAGATAATTAACAATAACTTGATTGAATGTACAGAATTTACAAACACAAAATACAACAAAGTCTCCTAATTTTACAGGACGTATCTTCTTCCGTACTGTCCTCCATCTCATTGGCTTCTGCTTCGCGTGTGTTCATCTGCTCCATCAGGAAATGTCCCATTATTGGTAGCAGTCACATCAGTGGTAGTAACTTCATTAACAGCTTCACTGTTTTTCTTCTCAAAACCGGGTAGAGTTTCTTCTTCGACAGTGGCTTTTTCAGGTGACACATCTTCAGCAGCGTCATTTGTTTCATTGTTCACTTCATTCCAACTGAAATGTTCTGGACCATGATAATGCCAAAGCCTGTTGGCATGCACCACCTTTGGCTTTCCTCGCCGACCACGTTTTATTCGAAATGTCACGTAAAAGAGACGATCCACTACGTCACATGGGCTTTCCCATGGAGAAGACAACTTAGGAGTCTTCCTGGGATTATACAACCACACCTTATCTCCTGGTACAAAGCTGACTTCAGCAGTTCTCTTATCATAACATAGCTTCATGGAATCAGCAGACGTTTTCAAGTTTGAACGCACTTAATGGTGAATATCGTCCAATCTTTCAGATAACACTTTCACGAACTCTGGCACATATTCAGGCAACTCTTCATAAGGTGGACGTTCTGTTATAAGGTCCACTGGCAACCGAAGGTCCCAACCAAACATCAGCTTTGCTGGAGTGTATCCAGTGGCTTCATACTCTGATGTTCTATAGGCCATCAACAGTGGAGGGAGTAAGACATCCCAGTCATCTTGGCGGCTATTACAAAACTTTGCCAATTCCTGTCCAAGTGTCCAATTGTACTTTTCTACCATCCCATCACACTGTGGGTGAAGTAGCGTTGTGCTGGTCTTTCGTATGCCAAACAACTTGCAGCATTCATGAAATACAGCTAATTCAAAATTACGGCCTTGATCTGAATGCAGTTCGTATTGCATACCAAACCTGAAGAAGAGATTACTAGTAGCCGAAGCTACCGTTGTAGCTTCCTGATTTGGTATTGCATATGCCTCAGGCCACTTGGTGAAATAATCCATCACCACACAAATGTACCTGTTTCCAGCACGAGTATGGGGCAAAGGACCAGCAATGTCAACGGCTACTCTTTCCATTGGTGCACCAACTTGATATAACTTCATTGGGGCATGTCCCTTATGTTTGGGTCCCCTTTTAGCACAACATATACTGCAGGTCCTGCACCATTTTTCCACGTTTTGTCTCATACCTATCCAGTAAAATCTCTGCCGTCGTTGACTCAATGTCTTCTTAACTCCGAGATGTCCTCCTGTTAAACTGTCATGGGATTGATCCAGCACAACTTCCCGTAACTTTCTCAGTATAACTGTTTCCCAGGTCGTCACTTTCCCATCTACGAACAAGACTA